TACTTATGCAGGCACTATTTAAAAAAATAGACAAAGAGAATAAAATTTGTTCTACTCCTGAATTTCCTAGGCCATGGTGCAGTCACATTCGACGCAAAGAGCAAACGAAGAATCCCCACGGAGGTGAGCTCCCAGGACCTCTGGATTACTGGAAAGAAGGCTGGCAGGCTGAGGCACCCTCAAACCTTCATGTCCCCCTGTCCCCAGGCTTCTATCTGCTTAGTGTACCCCTTTGAGTATGATGTGGCTTGGAATCAACTACAACTCTCCTGTCTCAATTCTTCATCTCAAAATGAGGATAACGGTCAGGATTCTGCTGCTGAAAGTGACTCCTTCACTGCGCTGTGGACGCTACCAAATATCAATTTAGATACATCACAGCTCCTCCTGCAGAATGATTTCCTATAATTACTGCAATTCTCTGAGGACGATGCCATGGAAGTCCCCACAGACACATAAGGGGACTCAGAACTTGCTCAGAGGCAGGAGGGATAGCACAGCAGCTAGTGCACTTGCCTTGCAAGTGGCTGACCTGGGTTTGACCCCGGCACCCCATATGGGGCCCTAAGCCCTGCCAAGAGTGATCCCTGAGCACAAAACCAAGAGTAAGCCATGACACAGCTGGGGTGTTGCCCCCAAATCAAAGGGCTTGCTCAGAATGACAGACTAGTAAGTTTCAGAACAGGACTTTGAACACAGGGGACCCTGGCTCTAACCTAGAGCGTGTCTCACATACAGACACACCCCATTTCATAGCAGAGAATAAATAGCTGCAGTAGTAATGAAAAGATACTTTACTCATAATTCCACATTCGTAATCAAGACAGAGTTCTATTCTTAGCTTTCACCTACTTTCATCTCTCCTTTTTAAAAATAATCACTTTTTACCTCCAGAATATTGCTTTCCTCTTCTACGTAATATAGCATGTTCCTTCCTTTCATCAACCTTTTAACTATCTTCTTTATTTATTTAATAAGTTTTATTGCATCACTGAGTTAACAATCTTCTTAAAATTTGAAATATGGGGAGCTGGAGAGATAGCACAGCGGGTAGGGCATTTGCCTTGCATGTGGCAACCCAGGTTCAATTCCCAGCATCCCATATGGTCCCCCGAGCACCGCCAGGAGTAATTCCTGAGTGTAGAGCCAGAAGTAATACCTGTGCATCGCTGGGTGTGACCCCAAAAATTAAAAAAATATTGAAATATGTCAATTTATTATTGTGGTTGTTAATGCTTCAATAAAGATCTGAGTTTCCCATGCTCATCATGAAGAAAGCACTGACCATTCTTTTTGTTTGTTTTTTGTTTTGTATCACAACTGACAATGCTCAGGAATTACTCCTAGTGGTGCTCAGGAGACTATATAGGATGCTGGGGATTGAACTCTGGTGGGTCAAGTGCAAGGCTAACACCCTACCCATTGTGCGAACACTCTGGCCCCGAGCACTGACCATTCACAGGGAAGTGAACTTCACATTCCCACTATCTCCATGAGCCACAGGGCAGTGAGCAGTGCACACATGTTACAGGTGAGAGACAAAGTATTATATAGAACATGGTATCCCTGGCCTGTGATAGTCAGCTGGAAGTTTTGAGTCAACATAGATGAGACATGGGAACATGTTAAAGAAAGATTATTTTGAGTCTTGAGCTCAAATTTTTTTTTTTTTGGTCATACCCATCAATGCACTCAGGAATTACTCCTGGCGATGCTCAGGGGACCATATGGGATGCTGGGAATTGAACCCGGGTGGGCTGCATGCAAGGCAAATGCCCTACCTGCTGTGCTATCTCTCCAACCCAAGTTCAGATGTTTTAATTAAGCAGTTTGGTTCCTTATTAGAAATACTAGTTTTGGTGAAACACAATCGGCGAATGTTTATCATGTACCTAGCATTTGGAGCTCTGCAGATGGAAAAGCAGCATGCCCAGGACCATGAATTAAAACTCACTAAGTTTTAATTTAATTTAGTTTTAAAACCAGAAAGGTTATGGGCTCTGGACAGGCTTTCTTTGTAGCATTTTTCCCCCTATTTCATCTAAAGAAATTCCAGGAAGTCCAGAGATAGGTTCAAAATGTATTATCTACCCTATTTACAGGAGAAAATGAAAGATTTGTTCCCTAGTTTCTACAAATGAAAACATCTATTTCTAATCAGTCATGATTAGGTTCCTTACTTGCCTTGGATGGAAAGGGGTAGGGAAGGGTTGGTAGACATGCGGAAGAATCGATAAGGATCGAGGCAGACAGGTATAAAACAAAACCTACTTAATTCTCCTCTGGAAAGTCTTCGTTCTGTTGAGATGGCAAAGCACGGAGTAGCAATAATGGACCTTAAAGACAGTACATGCAGTCTATTCCTTGACTGTTCTTGGTTGGCAAAATAAAAGAAGCAAGGAAATGCTGGGTCTTTATTCTTTAAATGGCTATTACTTTTACCCAGGGGCGGCACTTAAGCAAAATGAAATGTGAAATGGGGAACATTTCAGAAGAGCAGAAACGAAAGTGCTTTGAGAAAAAGAACAGCACAAACCCACTTCATTTCTGAAACTCAGAAGGAAATGAAATCAAATTAATTTGTGGACAGAGTCCTGTTCTTCTAATGCAGCTCCTAGTCGGGCAGCGGTGGGGGGAGGTTGTTGATTCCCTGGTGAAAAGCTTCTAAAAATGGGTATGTTCCCCCCCGCCACCACCACCACCACCTGACCGCCGCCCAAGATTTGGGTGGCAGGATGAAGAATGCTCAATAAAAAAATAAATATGGGAAAGTGAGGAAATCTTTTGGGGAGTTTATTTTCTCATCTTGGAAGCTTTGCTCAAGAAAAGCGAAAAAGCAAGGGCCACACTGAGCTAGGCATGGTCGAACTGAGCCCACTTGCAAAAACTCTGAAATGGTGCTTGCCTTTAATTTGATGGGAGAAACGCGATTTATTAATAATACAGCAAATGGTGTGGAGACAAGCCTTTCATTTTCAAGTGTGTACCATTTGGGGTTTCACAGCACATAAACATTTATGGGCAGATATAAAAGATCACGGTGCCAAAGGACTAAAGCATCACTAAGTACCACCACAGGGATGCTTAGACGGGAAGGACCCAGTGGGTTCAAGGAATCGTCCATGCTGAGCAACGCACAGCTCAGGAAAAGAGGCTAAGAAAAGATGCGGGTGGGTACGTAAAGGGAATACCTAACAACCTTTCAGTATCTATATTGCAAACCACAATGCCCCAAAAGGCGGGGGTGGGGGGAGAGCGAGAGAGATAGAGACAGAGAGACAGAGACAGAGAGAAGAAAAACACCTGTCATAGAGGGGATGGGGTGGGGGGTCATGGGAGGGAAACTGGGGACACTGGGGCTGGGAAATGTAGAGGAATGGGCATTGGAACACTGTACGACTGAAACCTAATCATGAGCAGCTTTATAAAGGTCGATCTCACAGTGATCCAATAAAATAATTTTTTAAAAAAAGGTAAAGGAAGGACCCCAAACCCAGAAAGTGAAAATGAGGTTCATGAAGTCCACCCACAGACTTCCCCAAGGCCACTCTCTCAGCCTGCCAGGCTCACGCAATACTATAGCATCTTTAGCCAGCCGCAGCCCCACCTGCAAATCACATCCTGCCACATGAGCTCATGCCCCCTGACCCAGCACTATCTTTTACTTTTGTCTTTTGTTCCAGACCATTCTGATATATTTGCCTCTAATATATTGTTGGGCTGGAGCGATAGCACAGCGGGTAGGGTGTTTGCCTTACATGCAGCCAACATGGCTGACCAGAGTTCGATTCCTCCGCCCCTCTCGGAGAGCCCGGCAAGCTACCGAGAGTATCTCACCCGCGCAGCAAAGCCTGGCAAGCTGGCAAGCTACCCATGACGTATTCAATATGCCAAACACAGTAACAACAAAGTCTCACAATGGAGACGTTACTGGGCCCACTTGAGAAAATCGATGAACAACCGGAGGACAGTGACAGTGACAATATATTGTTGGCTTGGTTATTAGGATTATTCTCTCTAGTCAACTGCTTTCTGCTCCAATGTAAAGCTTCATGAGGACAGGATGCTTGCATTCTTTTACAGACCAGTTTATTTCCGGGAAGAGTGACGACTTTTAAAAAATTATTTGGGGGCTGGAGCGATAATACAGTGGGTAGGGCATTGGCTTTGCATGCGGCCGACCCGAGTTCGATTCCCAGCATCCCATATGGTCCCCCGAGCATCACCAGGAGTAATTCCTAAGTGAAAAGCCAGGAGTAACTCCTGTGCATCTCAGGTCTATCTCAAACTCAGGTTTGACCCAAAAAGAAAAAAAAAAACTATTTGGGGACCCAACAAATAGCTATGCTGAAAGGAGTAAAACCAAACATTATACTTGGGTGGCAGGATGAAGAATGCACAATAAAAAATATAGGAAAGTGAGGAAATCTTTTGGGGAGTTTATTTTCTCATCTTAGAAACTTTGCTCAAGAAAAGCAGAAAGCAAGGACCGGCTTCCTTTTCAAATGATGCCTGGTTCTTGAAAACTAAACCTCCTGACCCTTCTTGCTCACTTTTATTTATTTATTTATTTTTACAAATCTTATGGTGATTCAGAAAGACTGAATTCATTCTACTAATAAAGGATTCCACAATTTATACCACTTTTGTAATAACAGCAGACAGACCAATTGGTGTGGCAGACTGATACCAAAACACGAGGGGAACCAAGCCAAATCCTAAAGATTTCTCTTGAATCAAGCCCTGCTTGAATCAAGCCTTCGAAGCTTGACTTTTCATCGCAGCAGAAAGCCTGTGATTATGCTGCTTTTACAAGTTTAACTTGTAATCATTGTAGCAGGAACACAGCGCACCAAAGTCATCATTTCAAAATTATTGGCAGCCAGCCTTTCCCTCTCACAGAACAAGGGTGCTTTGGCCCCAGAGAAATCTCTGTCATTCTGAACATGCTTAACGAAAAGACACTCTTTTTTTTTTTTTGGTGGGGGTTCTCCACTCACTTGTTGCCCAGTAACCAGGAAGATGGAACCTTCTTTCCCGTGGACGACTTGTCGATAAATGTGGTCGAGAATTAAGAGCTCACTCCAGCAGTTCTGAAGCAGTTTCATTTGGTCATCAACCTGCAAAAAATAAAATACAAAATAAATGATTAACAACAGTCTTCATGCTTCTTGTTTTGATTTGGCATCATCATCTGCCTAAGGGAACTTATAACAAGCAAGGAAAGGGCACTAACAGATGCTTCAGAATTTACCTCACTGCTCCTGAAAAATCATTATTTTCATTTGGACAAATACCTTTTAGGCCACAGAGAAGTACTTAAGATGAGTATTTATAATCAATGGACTGCAAGGAAAGGGCTCTCCATTAGGTGGGTCAAGCCAACATTAATAGAGCTATTAAAGTTTGCTTACGAAACTACAGATGCCTCACCCTGTCCTCTCTAGACCCCATTAGAATGACCCCAATTGGCCCAAGCTTCTACACCTTCAGTTAAATGGTGAGTAGTGAGTAGCCAACTGACAAATGGAGGGGATTTCTATCAAAGACAACTCGTGCCACAGCCAGATGACTTCTGGGCAGAACAGCAACTGGCCATAATTGCTATCAGAGGCAATGGAGGTCCAGGCTGTGCAGGACAATCCACCAAATGTGGTTTGGGGACTAAGATGGCTTTTCTTGAGGATGTGGAAAACTGCCCCACAAACTCTCTATACTTCAAGTTCCTGAGCTGGAAAATGGGTGAGGCACAGAGGACCTCGCCACGACGACTTCTGGGAGAGTTAGGTGGAAACTTCAGGCCTGGACTCTTGCCTACCATACAAACTGCTGGTTACAACTTCCACACTCTGGTGTCCCACATGAGTCAGGCATGGTCTGGGCAGCTCTGCAGTTTGCACCTGGAGCCATGGTGCTGCGAACTATTTCCAGCCACATCACTGCCATCCCCCGTGAGTACCATAACCACAACTCCACCAAGGCAGGGAGTACCTGTATGAACAACAATAGTCAAAAGCCTCTTGGCTGAGTGCGTGTCATCCCAGTCTGATGTGCCACCTCTGGACAGCACCAGACAGGCATGTGGGCAGCCTCCTCAGGACCACAGTGGGAGGAAAAGGCGATTAAACAAACAAACAAACAAAGAGTGAAAGTGCTAAGTCCTGTCAGATCTCCTGGCCATACTCTACCCCGTGGTCTAGGGGACAGCATTCTGCCATTCTTCAGGTCAGACACCATACACTGTCCACAAATTCACAGTCAAAAAGTAGAGAGAGCACCTGGCCATTTTTATGCCTGTTCCTGGCAGTTCAGTTTTCACTTTGTATTGTCAACCAATCCCAATCTTGCAGAACTCTTTTGCAGTGATCATATTTGTGCATGCACGATGCTTTTATAAAAGTAATGTTTGAGGACAGCGTTGGAGAGATAGTACAGGGGTTAAGGACCTTTCCATGCATGAGGTAGACCCCAGTTCATCTTACCCATACAGAAGGTCCCCTGAGAGTCGCTGGGAGCAACTCAGAGCTAGGACTGAGCCTTGGGCATCACTGCATATGCCCACCCCAAGCCCAAATAGTAACAACAACAATAATAATGCAGACATATGGTGTTTAATATTTTAAAATTCCTTTTGCTTATTGTTTTACATTTGATTCCTAAAAATGCCTGTGAAGTTAGTAGAATTGCTATCATATTTAATTTACAGATGAGAAAGTAGGTCTTAGAGAAGTTAAGTGGTCTGCCTGAGAACTAGAATTTTCTAAAACAAATCCACTCATTCTTAAAATGTTGCTTGTTGTTGTCTGAACTAAAGCAGATGATACTCGGGGGCTGCTCCCAGCTCAGGAATAGCTCTGGGAGACCATAAGGTGCTGGGGATCCAACTCAGGTAAGCACTTTTACACTGAGTCACATCCCCAGCCCACCATAAATAAAAGTTTGTTTGGGGGCCACACATAGCGGTACTGATTCAGGTTTTACTCTTGGCTCTGCACTCAGAGATCACTCCTGGTGGACTTAGGGGAACATATAATATGCCTGGGATTGAACCTAGGATGGTCACATGCAAGGCAAGTGTCCCACCCGTCTACCCGTTATACTATCACTCTGACCCAGCCCAACAAGTTCATTTTAAAGTGGCTAGGACTTTGAAGGGTTGGGTGATTCTTAGGAAATCTCCACAGATATATTAGAAGTGTTGCTAAGAAAGCGTCTGATTTTATTGCTTTTTTTGGGTCACACCCGGGGACACACAGGGATTACTCCTGGCTCTTCACTCAGGAATTACTCCTGGTGGTGCTCAGGGGACCATATGGGATGCTGGGAATCGAACCCAGGCTGGCCGTGTGCAAGGAAAACGCCCTACCTGCTGTGCTATGGCTGATTTTATTTCTCATGTCAAGACCACAGTGGTGAACAGGATGCAGAGAATGCTGAACTCAGAGTGAAAATAAGGACCTAAGGTACAATTCTTACACTTTCTAACCACAGAAGCGAGTGATTCTCTATGCCTTATTTTTCTCCTCTTAAAATATGTAAGAAGAGGTGTTGCCTGGAGGATGAAATGAGAGCTTAGAGGAGCAATCCCTCTGTAGTGTGGAAATCAGCGCCTAAGGGAAGAGACCCCCACAAAGAGAGAACAACTGGGAGCCGGTATTAAGTGTATAGAAAGAGAAAAAAAATAACAGGAGAGTTTGCATGGGGCCCCGAGAGCAGGAAAAGGCATTTCCACCCATCTCCATCAGAAAGATTTCCAACCATTAAGTCTGTTCTGCCCTAAAGGGCTTCAGGTGCTAAGTAAACAGATTTCTTTTAGATCCAAATGTCTGGGGCTGAGAGCTGAGCCAGGACACAGCATTTCTGGTCATGTAAAAAAAATATATAATAAAATTCTCCTGGGACCCTGAGTCCACCCAAACAAAAGTGGCTTTGTGACAGCAGAAGCTCATTTTCTTCCATGGTATCTCCAGAGTGTGCACTGATGCCACAATCACTTGGGCAGAAGCAACGGACACTCGCATCCCCCCACAGCTGTGCCCCCCCCCAACCCACAGCACCCAGTCCAGACTGCTGGTCAGTGCGGCTCAGCCTGGGGCGAGAGCAGAGCAAGGCATACTTGGCTCTGCAGAGGTCTTTCCAAGTGATTAGTTTATGGTGGTCAATTTGTTCCCTGCTACTTATTTGGGTCTATGTTAAACTTTAGCTATACTGTTAGCACTTTTTTTCTAGGCAAACCCATATCCTGTCCTTTGAGATTAGTTCTCCAGAAAAAAAATTATCATACACCTTAATGTTGCAAATAATCTCAAGATGGGTGAGGAAAGACAGATTCTACCATGTGCCTTTATGAACACGGGGAGGGAATTTCAACTTAAAAAGCTCTTTACGGGGCTGGAGCGAGAGACTACAGGGGTTAAGGTACGTACCTTGGAAGTGACTAACCCAGTCTTTATCCCCAGAATATCCTAAATATCACCAGGTGCAGCCCTGGAAATCCCCCCCAGTACCCTTGAAGTGACCCACGTCATCCCAGCGCTGTAGGCTCTGGTAGCACTGAACCCCCAGACCCTTGCAATGAACCTCAGGCTCTGTTGGCTGAGAATCACTGGGAGAGATGCACAGTCTTCCTGGGTGCCACTTGGAAGATTCAAAATAAGAAAGAAAGAAAAGAAAAGAAAAGCCATGAGACAGAGAGCAGAACTCAAAAGGTTGGTGTGGAGGCTTTGATACAGAAAGTCTGGACTTCATCCCCAGAACCACAAACACTGCCAGATGTGGCTCCCCAAACAAGCAAATCAACAAAATCACCTATGTATATAGCAAAGAAAAGTACTGTTCCCATTTTACAGGTGGATAAATAAAGGAACTAAGAGACTGTTGTCCACAAGAAAAGGACAAAAGGTGAGTGGACATTACAAGCACCACATTTTCTGGAGTCATTTCATTAAGGGCTTCTTCCTCTTTGAGGGATGCCCCTCTACTCTTCATGTATTAATGAAAGAAACATTGTGGGGATAGATCTGGCCAGCATTAAGGTGTGTGGTTGTAAGGTAAGAATCTCAATGTAGCTTCAGCAGCCCCAAAAGAGAAGTCTAGCTTTAAAAGAGAACTCCTCCAAGGATATTTTTTTTTGGTCTGACATTAAGAAAAAAAAGGCACATATTTTTGTTTTATTGGGGGAAATGTGCACATCAAGAAGTGCTTAGGGATTACTCCTCCTAGCTCTGTGCTCAGGATCACTCCTGGTGGACTTGAGAGATCATATATTCTTCCTGGTATTGAACCACCCGGGTCATCTGCATGCAGGGTAAGTGCACTGCTCTGCCTTGCTTGAGGTGAACGAGGGCTCAATCCCCAGCAACAAACAGGCTCCCTAGAATTGTTCTAGGAATAATCCCTGAGAGAAGAGCCAGAAGTAAGCCCTGAGCATGGCCACACTCCCTTCTCCCACCTCCTAAATAAACAAACAAAAAGGAGAGGTTCTTAGGAGCAGATGTTGCTCTACAGGGAAGGTTCTAAGAGGGGCGTCCGGTTCACACCCCCACAAGACTGTCAGGGCTGAAGCTGGGCTGGGCTGGGCTAAACAGGCTGCTGGGGGTCTTGCTTTCTCTGAGTCTTCGGATGACTGGGTTTGACCATGAAGGATCACTTCATTTCAAACTGTACTTTATAAAAAAAAAGCACAGCATACACTCCATAAAACATTGCAAGCCGGCAGAAACATGAACCAATGCACTAAGCAACCCCCCACTGCATGGATTCAAGGTAGAATTGACAGAGGACTTGCAGTCTGCACCCCACCTTCTCAGTTGCAGAAACGGGCTGCCACTTTCTAGCTTTGCAAGCCCTCCCCAACCCTCTCCCTGCAGGCCAGTCTCCCCTGCCCTCTCTGTGCACCCCCCCACAAACACCTCCTACACAAATAAAGAAATCGGTGAACCAAAGAAAGAGGAGGGGCACTCTTCGAAACACTTCCCTGACCCGAAGAGTAAACTCTATAGCACTTGGCCTTCAGACATTTTTGCAGTTCACTTACATGTTTCAGGTCCCCACCTGCAGTACAGGATGGTGTCTCTCAGCCGCAGGGAAGTAATCAATGGATTCCTGAGGACCTGGTAGC